AAAGTGCTAAAGGGATGTATAAATAAAACTGTGTACTCAAATGGTATTGTAATACTAAAATATTTATTGTTATGTTAAATATTTACTTGCAAAAAAAGTTTATGTAAACTTTTGTATTTTATAGTACTGAAGAGGGACCTTTTTTAGAAAAGGACCGAAATGCATCTATAGTAATAGAATAAAGTGAAATCATTGGCTAAAGCTGTGTGATAGTCTACCGCCAATATTAAAATTTACATTTTAAGTGCGGATTTACAAAGACTTTACAATATATATATAACAGCAGTCATAAGAAATTTAAGTTATATAAATATTGTTATGTAAACTTGTAAACTGGTAGTTTTACGTTTTGCATTCAACGTTTCCTCTTGATTTAATGAGGAAATCAAAATCTAATATGAACTTCAAAGTATTAAAACGCACAGCAATAGCTTTTTACATTGAAAACAGAAAAAGAAACAAATTTTAAAATGTTCTTTTCTTTGCCCTTATAGTTTCATAAAAACATAAATCACTAAATAAAGCATAAATGCATACTGGTATAAGTAAAGAATATAGTTACTACTAGTAGTTTTACGTTGTTCATAATTTAAAGTTTGTTCAAAGTTAAATATTTAAACATTCAATGATCATTTTGAAATTTTTAGTAAAATTTTCTATTATTAAGTAATTATAAAAAACAAACGTGAAATTACCAGTAATGTTATAATCTATTTCGTTTTTTATAGAATAATTCAGCATTAAGAAAAGAATACATAAGCATGTGTAAGTCTTCCTAACCTACAAGTGAAAAGAAAGTAATTGTGAAAATTTTGATTGTTAGAGCTGTAACGCTCTTTTCCTTCCCTCGTTGCATAGGTAATCACTTCAGAACGACATAGCTTTGTTTCCGAAACCTCCAAAATCCCCATTACATTAACTCATGCCATTTCTTACTTTGTGTGTGTAAAAGACATCGTTCATCCGCTACCAATATTTTCAAACATACCAGACTTAAGACATTAGATTGTTGAGGATGCTTCTTTCATTACACAAGGCATGGTGACCATAATGTATGAATTGGAACAGTGTTTACATGTCTGCCGTGTAACGAAAGATTTTCATATTAAATACTTGTAATTTGTGTTTAAAAAATTTCGTACACGTTTCTTTCGTATCAAAAATATTTTACTGTTTTATACTGCAAGTAAGAAAATTTATACCGCTATTAAAATTTAATATTATATTTGATAAGCCCTATATCTTTTTGAAAGCCAAAATTAAAAGATTTTACATAAAGTATTTTATACGCAGTCAAAATTTAATATGGAAAGTAATTTTGTACATATATAAAATAAATATTAATTTAGAAATTTTAAGTTATTACTGTACTTAAAATTTAACATTATATTAAAGTCATAAAATGAGTTCGTTAGTATTGAAGAAGAAACGAAAAATATGCTTTTTTTTGCATTTAGACACCAATGGTAATTTTTATTTAATTCATGCTAAAATTTCATTTATTCCGAAATATTATGATATTACAGTCGACCCCCCTTAAAACTGTTGATTATTCTGTTTTATATGAATTCCATGTTGTACGAGTCACATAGATTTTACAAATACGTGTGCCTGGCTGTGAACGGCTCATGTATTTGTAAAATCAAAGTGACTCGTACAAAATGAATTCATATAAAACAGAAAAACCAACAGTGTTATAGGGGGGTCGACTTGTATTCTTAATTTCTATAACACAAAATATCAGATCAAAGTGTAAATTAAAACTTAGTCTTACTTTTCTAATAATCGTATGGACCGTGCTGTAATTAAAAAATTCGCTGAATTATTTTCCAATAATAATTTTTATTAACTGTAATAATTATTCTAACAACCACTTGAAAGAGGTGTATTGACAATTAAGCAAACTTGTAATGATTTTCCAATTTCAACCAGTACCAAAAGCCAAGAATTATTCAGTGAAGCTTAAGAAATTCTTGTATTTACTCTTAAGTATTTCGGCAGAATTTCTTGACAAATTTCTTTGATTATTTCTTGGTAGATAGTTGTAATTCGAAAGACATTGCGATTTCCCTAAATTGTCTATAAGCCCTTTAAAAGTAGTAGGCAGAATAATCGATAAAATTTATCACGTATTGCTAATTTTTAACTTAGTCTTATTAAAATTATTATAATATTTTAAACTTTATAATAAGTGTATTACTGTGGAAATTACATGAATTTATTTACTGAAAAAACAGGTTAAAATTAAAATAACTATATTATTTTAGTATATTTATTAAGTTGGAAAGCTAAAGATAAAAAATTTCAGAAATTTACTTTTGTATACAGTAATTCATTTCAGAGGGTATATCAATGGATTATGATTTAATGAAAGAAAGACGTGGAAATTAGTTACAGCCGTATTATTTAAGGAAAATAAACGAAACTTCACAGAGATAAACAACGGTTCCTGCATTTATTCAAAATTTAAAATTTGATACAGTAGAGCCTTGAAAACTCGGCCTAATGTGAACCGAAGTGTGGCCGAGATTGTGAAATGCTGGGTTATCGGGAATGGGGTTAAAAAAGGATAAGTATGCGTGTTTCCTCAGAAAATATTGTATTGTACTTGTATGTATTGTTTGCTTGAGAATACAACAGAGAATAAACAGCCCAAATACCCTTAAACAAAGAAAAAGTACGTCCTTTATGAAAGCATAGAACCTTTACTACATGAAAATGAAAATTAATGAACACAGCGTACAGTAATTTACCTGATAAGACATACCTCAGAAAAATACTTTATGACGCATAAAGCCGTCTATGATGAAAATTATTTATCTAAGGTTATTTTTGCCCTGCCAGGGTGGGCCCAGTTATCAGGAGTGCCGGGTTATCGAGTGCCGAGTTTTCGAGGCTCTCTGTATTATATATTTACTTTTCTTATCACCACAATTTTGTCTTATGTATGCAGTAAAAGTTTACTTTCATGCACCTCTCACAGCTCCCATAATTAGACTTTTTTTATTAATTATGCTGTTTCATTTAAAAAAATGCCAATTAAATAACAATTCCTCAAGAAAATATACTGATTACATTTCATACGGTGGGAAACATATCTTAAGCATTTAATTTGAAAACTGATAACACATGTTTTATTAGTTTTCAAATTAATTCAGCTCAAATTCAATTGTTATTTGGAAACAATAATGGAAAAGTGTATGATACAGAATTGAAATATAAATGTTTGTACTACTCGATTGATGATATTTTTTCAATATATCTATACATCGTTTGAATGGATTAATTGTTAATAAAATTTATATAACAAAAACGAAGTAACTTTATGAAATTACACTAAATTTTTACTAAAACATAGCTTATACTGATACTGAAAAAGAATTTCAATAATAGTTTATAATTTATTAGGCATTATATAATTTTGTAGAAGATTGTAAATAATTAATTTTGAGTATTTCATTGCTCCATGTTCTCGTATTTAGTTATATGACCTACAGAATTGGCATAGAGTTGCTATTGAGATTAAATCACACAAAAACACTTCTTTGACCAATAAAGTAGGTTTACTTTCCATAACTTATAACAGATGTGCATTTCTGGCGCTATGCCCCTTTTCAGTCCTTATCTAATTAATTATATCGTCAAAACACAATGTAAGATATTGCATAATGCAGTGGTCTCCAACCCCCGGGCCATCCATGGAACATTAAATTATTTCCATTTTATTTACTATGGTGTATTTCCTCGGGTTTGTGCGACTTTTAATGGACGACGGAACAACAGAATAAACTGGACATAAGAAACACACTTCGGGTGTCATTGTCTCCTATTACCCCCAGAGGGAACCGTCTTGTTTCAATGAAACAAGCTCAGGGTCCTCGTTGATTTAGCGTTCTAGTGAGTTAAAATGTTAAATTACGTTATATTCATTTTTTAGTGAAACTGTATTTTATTTTGAAGGCATGTTTAAATACAATTAAATTAAAATTATTAAATTAAATCAATGTAAAATATAAACAATCAACGTCCCACCCTCAGTGGGCCGCAGTAAAATTATCAAACTTTGACCGGTCCGCGGCGATAAAAAGGTTGGGCACCGCTGGCATAATGTACTAAATTATATTTAAGATATAAGTACAGAAAGTTTTTAAAAAATATATAGTTACATAACAAATATTAATAATAGTGTCAGCTAAAATAACAACAATAACTTAGTTGCATTCGAATCGAAACAGGGTAGTGAAGCAGTTAAAATTGTGGAATGAGAAAAGTAAAACTGAAATAAGTTACAAAATAAATATATAAATAAATGATTAAAATGTTAAAAAATAATAAAGTAGTATACTTTTAAAAATAAATATATTTCCATTAAAACAGACAAATAAAGATAGTAAAATCATAACACATTAATATCAATAAAACAAGATGTAAAAGCTTCCACTGTATGTTTACTAGAAAATATGATATTTTGTACGATACCGTGGATTAAAATGAGTTGGTGGGGAGAAAAAGAAACTTAAACTGGACTTTCCAATTTTGGTAGTAATGGCTGCCAGATGTCACTGATGACAACAACAGTTTTTAAATTCATTCTGTGAATTTCCTTTATTTTAATAATTTAAACGTGTTCAAAAATTTTACTTTTAATAGTATTTTTTAAACAATTTTGACACTGTCAAGTAAGGTCTCTCAGCAGGCATGATTACATTGTGTAGTGACTACCAAGTTGATGTAATCATACTTGACAGCTCTTATATTTTTTTCTTCTTCGAATTATTAACATTCTATTAAATTCACCTATGTAATAATTTTTGAATAACACGTACTGTACAAATGAAGTCATAGATTAAATTATTTAACATAACATTAGTTCTTTGTTATTCAAGAAATTCTTGATTTTCTTATTTAGAATGGGAGTTAGATTGATATTATATACAGTAGATCCCCCTATAAAACCGTTTCCTGTAGTTATGATTCCTATAAAAATTGTGGCAGTATCCGTAAACAACGGTAAAAATAACTCCTATAATACTTAAAACGTCATCGGGCAGCCGAACTACTTTTTCGCCGTCCGTAGTGCCACGCTACGGACGTTTAGGCGGATAAATTGAGTTTAGTATCGTCTGTTCATATAATTATATATAAATTAGGTACTGTACATATAATTATATATTAATTATATATAAATTAGGTACTGTATATATAATTATATATTAACTTAATTTATTGTAACTTTATTATAATTAAATATATATTTTTCGCCGTCTAGCGTCACGCTACGGCGAGTTAGGCGACCTATCGTCTGTCCAGTACTGTAATTTTATACATTTCTTGTGAAAGAAACATTTCTTATTTAACGGCCATAAAAATTATTTATATTAAGGATGTCTCCAAAGGTCAACGAAGTTTTCGCAGAAAAATAATATCAGAAATCGCGGCCGCGGTTTGATGCGCTGTTCCGCGACGAAACCAAGCTTTAGCAACGGGCGTAGTCGAACGGTACACACTCGGTAAGCAATCCTACAATTTTTTGTTTATAACGTAGTTTATACGGATTATTTTCAAAAAAATATACGTATTTTGGAAATGTTGAGTCGAATTAGTCTAGAATCGATTAATTTTATGAAAGAAAACCTTTCAAACAGCCGTAGTCCGTAAACTATGATTCCTACAAAATTGATTCATAAAGAACGGAACGTATCTACCGTCTTATAGGGGGATCTACTGTACTATTATTCTTTGAATGTTTTCAAAAATTACTTAGTTTTTAATCTAGTTTTCTACAAATTAATTCTGTTATAAAAATCAGTTGTTTTTTTGTGAAATCATTTCTTAATAATTTTGTTGGGGTAGTCTCTATTTTATAGCATGTATCGTTTTAGATATTAACACATTTTTAATTACAGGTATAAATTTAATGGCCCAACAAAAATTAATTGCAAAGATTTTATACGAAATTTTGCGAATATATACCGCATTTTTTAATTAAATAAATTCCGTAACAAAATTATTAAAAAATCGCTATAAAACCACTCAATAAAACATCCGATTGCTTGCACACAATAATATGTAGAAAAGTGAATTATACCGGAATAATTTTTGAAAACATCCAAACAATATTAACCCCATATAATATCAATGTAACCCGCATACTAAATAACAAAATTAAGAATTTATTATTTACTGTATGTATTTACTTATTTGTTTAATTTATTTCAGTTTTATTAGCCCATGAATTTTATAAGTTTTAACAGAAATATTATATTTTTACAGTTATATCTTACGTCGTTATTTTTTAACATTTTACTCATTTATTTGTTTACTTATTTCTTACAAGACTATGTCTTGTTTATAAAATTGTACTGCCTGCTGGGTGACTAGCTTAGAGGTATGAAAAAGTACTGTGCATGCCAAGAGTTGCAATTTGGCACAAAGTATTAGGTAATTAGATCATTAAAAGATTAACAGACTTTTAGGTATTGAAGGAACCAAGAACCGAGTTAAAATTTCAATTCAAAGTAGCTACACTCTCTACAAACAGGTAGTATTGCGAGATGTGCTCATGAGTTGCTCGTTGGAAAGTTGGAAATGCGAACATTACGAAATCGAATTTTGACAAACGCGTGCATTGGGAAGTTGGAAACAACAGATCGAATTTTCACAAACGAATCTTTGGAAAAACCTGTTCACCTGACCTGTATTATTCCCGACATATCTCTGGTCACATGTCGCGACCAGAGATATGTCAGGAATAAACGGGACAGGTAAATGGGCTATCGTTGCACGTATAGTAATTCAGCTGAAAGTTAAAACATCTTTATTACTACTAGTGAAAGAAGTTCGGAGCAATGAAATTTTGAATTAATAAGGAGAGATGAAATCAGAGGAGGGGCAGGATGTCCAGTTTCTTGGTAGTTAAGTATGTGCACATGAATATCGTATTTATAGAAAAATTATTATGACTCGTTTGGTTTATTTAATTATTGCAACGCAACACGTCAGCGATCATTCAAGGATTCAGGGGGCAACTTTCCATAAATCTTGAAAAGATTTATTTACGTCTTACTAACGTTAAGTAAACCCAGAAAAGTGAACGTGGCCAGTCTGTCGTTGACGCGCAAACCCATTACCGGTTAGTCAGTCGTAAGTTCGTGTGGATAAAAAAACCCAGTTACCAAAAGGTACTTATTGGGCTGCAATTTGAAAAAATGATAGACTTATAAATTACTACTGTCTTCAGTCTGTCGCTACTCGTCCTTTATCTCGAAAATGCAGTTGTATAGATGAATTCCGAAACCAGATATGGAAATCTTAATGGCATTTGTTACTAATTATAATAACATAACTTACAAGACTCTAAGAAAAGTTTCTGAACATTTAAATTAGCCCGTAAACACAGCTATTCACTAAATTCAAAAAGCCAGAGTTTAAAGTCAAACTTAAAATACATTTTTTAGAATTCACATACTTAAAGTAAAATAGACGCTACATGATTAACACTTCAAATTATATAAGAATTGTTATAAAATCACAAATATGGCTAAAACTAATTTATCTTTATTAATTCCTTTTCTTTTGTAATGGATGAGACTTTTCTTCTAAATAAAACGACGACTTTCAATTAAGCGTTTATAATAACATTTAATTAATATATAATTATATTCTATATTAAAACAATTACTATCAATTACTATTTAAATTGCTGTATAAATTAAATTTCTTATTTTTGTTCTTAAACGAATTGTAAACTGTGTTATATATTACATGTAATATGTATATATAAAAAGTTTTAAATCAATTTATATAAAAACGTAACTTACAGGAGGAGGTGGACCATATGGAATTTGACCTGGTTGCCCTCCATTCTATTAAACAATAACAATATATTAATATTGTATAATCAAATCTATTCTGTTTTCAATTTTTGCATGTAAATTCTACAATGCAAAGATACTGTATTAACTTATTTTGACATTACACCAACCATACCAATGTAAACATTTTTTATTTTTATAATCCTTATTAAACTATTTCATGATCTGATAACAAAATAAATAATTAATAATTTGATAGATTTTAGTAAACTTTTCGTCGTTCAAACTCATGTATTTTGCTTAATAACAAAAATACTTTTTCCGTAATTAATAACAGTAACATACCCACAGGCACATGCATATATATAAAGTTTACATTTACGTTAAATATATTCAAATCATTCTATCTCCTTTTTCTTCATTAGCATTTTAAAAACAATCTTATTTTACATATGTTATACTTACTTTTAAATACAAGCATTTCAGTTTAAATTTGCACAAACTGTACTAAATTTAATAACACATCTATATTCTTTAAAATATTATATATATTATTTTATATAGGGGAGATCGGGGCAACTTCGGCATGCGGGGCAAGTTTGTCAAGCGCTTTTTTTTAAAAACAAATTAAAAGGAGACTTTGGTTATAGGTTAGGCAGTTGAGTTTTATTGGTGGCTTGTTGAGTGTAGTGTTTTTATTGTTCTCCAACAAGCGTAGTTGAATTATCAAGCAAATTTTCATTTTCGTTGAATTCCATATAATATTTTTTTTCCATTTATATTGAATTGGCAGGTTTTGTTATAATTCCATGATAACGAAAGTTACTTTTCCTGTTAGAAGGATGTAACTTCAACTTATTCACGTGGCCAGATCGTGGCTTGGCATTCTGTTCTCAGGGTTGTACTTAATGTTTCGAAATCATGACTAGCGGGGTAAGATCGGCAACATAAACCACATTAGAAGCAAAGGATAAAAATCAAACAGATGATAAATGAAAACATGTTTGCATTTGTTATTCATGTATATATGTCTTTGAACTTGCATTTCGTTGTAATAATATTAAATGGGTGTTGGATTTGTATTTTTTTGTTTTAATAGTGAATTCCAACTTATACATTGTTAATAACATAATTTTATATACGTGCCTATCTTGCCCCATTACTGTTGCCCCTATACCAGGGGCAACTTTAATAAAAATAATTAAAATAATTACAACTTTACAAAAAGAGAGAAGTTGCCGATCTTGCCCCTATACCCGGGGCAACTTCGTCAATTTCTCTCTTCTTGTAAAGTTGTAATTATTTTAATTATTTTTATTTCCAAACTGATTTTAACCAGTTCTATAGTAAGGTAACATTCCAATAGACAATATGCAAAGCTTTTTTTTCAGTTTACAGCAGTATTTATTACACAAAATTTAAGTAAAGCTTAACATGCCGATCTTGCCCCGATCTCCCCTATTATTTATTTTACATCTATATTCACAAAAACAAAGTTTAGATTCAAAGATGAACTAATCAGCACTCATGTACTTAAAATAAAATGAATTCTGATTGTTCAACATTTCAAACTATAAAGAATGATTTCAAAATCACACATTTGTTCAAACTCGTATTATCTTCATTAATACTTTTTCTTCAGTTAATCGTTGAGTTTCCATCTTAAGAGAACGAAAAACTCAATTGAACGATTGCGGGATTATAATATACGCATTAATTGTAGCTATCAAAATACACATACAGAATTTATCATTTTTGCAATTTAATTTATCATTTTTTGATGTATCAGAATTTACTGAATTTAATTAATATACTGTACTCAAATTTAATGTAATTCTCTACACTTTTGAACTGCAATTTCAAAACGTTGTAGACCGATAAATTCCCACTGTTGTCTGTCAGTCATTCCGTAATCTCAGAAACGGAGTTTGATAGATAAGTAAAGCGACCAGTTCTGGACACGGGAAGTGTAGGATTCCCTGAGTAACTGTATACGGACTTTTGAGGCAACCCGGAAATTGCGTTATTTCAATTAAATTTCACTTCGAAAGGTGTTAGATTGATAATCGGTACGATTCTATTGTTAAAGAAAACGTCGACAGTTTACAGAATCTTTGTCTCATATTGATGCTGAATATAATGACGTTTATTTTACTGACGTCAGATGATTAAGCAAATCTTTAATTTTACAACGTTTTACCAGAAATAAAATTATTTACAGAAATAAAAGAAAAACCTGTTAAAGAACTTTCAGACTACAAATGAATGAGAAATCTTGCATTTTTTGTCGATATTACAACGCATTTGTAAGAATCAAATATAAAAACGCAAGAAAAAAATCTAATCATATTTGAATTTATAACTTTTATAAAAGGGTTTATATCGAAGCTCAAATTATAAAGCATGCAAAATTGTCACTTTTTCCCACTTTATTACAACGCACGGAACCTAAAATTAATTTTGAATATGCAGAGAAAGTGGAATAACTAGACCATAAATTTAAAAAAAAATTCGAAAAATTTTTTAGCCGAGAAATCAAAACACGGATATTTACAGCACCTTTTTCAGAAACCTAAAAAACGTACCAAATAAACTTCAATTAGAAATAATAGACTTGCAAAGTAATTTAGATTGGAAAGATACTTTTAAAAAAAATTGGTAGACTTTTATGAAACTTTTATCAAAGATGATCAATTTTCTAACTTAATAAATTCCTGACTGAATTAGACTTTCAATCTTACAATTGCAGCTACCTATAAAATTTTTCCAACATTAATGGTAACAGTTGAATTGATCTTTGATATGGTAACAGTCAACTAAACAAATTTAACACAGATTGTTGCACTCAGGATCAAATCTCTGCAAGTGACCATGTCTAATTTTTACAAAGATTACCGGTCCAATCTTCCAACATTCCTAACAAAACAAACTGGAATCAATATGAAGAAATTATTAAAAGCATTTGAGATCCCACTAATCCAATTATTGTTGCAAATTGAAGTAAATAGCACATTGAAATTGCACAGCATAGACAATTTTTTTATGCTGTGCAACAACTTGAATATGCTATTCACACAGTTTATAAACAGGCCACGAGTATCAAAATCACAAAGTTAATAGACCTCTGGTGAAACACATACCCGATTCGTAGGATTCGGCCGCATGTGAGCTGAACTAGTTCTGGACGTTTACCTTGATCTTATCATCACTTGCAAACAAATTTCTTGAGATGAAAAAACAAATGGAAGTCAGATGGAACTAGGTTCGGACTATAAGGAGGGTGAGAGAATTGTTTCAAGCAAAATGAATCAAGCAGCATCGTCATCTTGCGTGTGGTATGCGGTAGTGCATTGTCATGCACGAACACAATGCCAGAAGTCGGAAGTCCACACCTTTTGTTCTGTGTCCCGCGCCATAACTTCTTCAATGTCTCACAGTAAGCTGTAGAGCATCGCTAACCTATACATATTTGTGTGGATGTTCTCTATGTTAAGATTTTCCCATGAAATTTTATTAGGACAATCGGTGAGATTTAATGTTGTATCTGGTTTCTATTTCTTCTCTGTCCAATTTGTCGTTTATTTGGTTCAAATCGAGCCAGTAGTTTGCAGTTCACTGTTAGTTTTGTACTGCTGTCACGTGCCCATCTTATAGTCATAATTTATAGCTTTGCTGTTTTAAGTAATTTCGTTATCGGCATTGGGTAGAGTCTCTCTTATAGATTTTATATTAAAATTGTATTGTAATCGCGATTGTTTTCGTCATTTTACGGTTTTTCAAGTTTTCGTGTTTAGCAGGCTTTTAGAGAGCCTCCTGCATTGTCCGGCGAGTCGTTGTTTTGGTGTTTATCAGAAATTGTTTTTCGCAGTGTTGTGTTAAAGTTTCAGGTTTATACCTGTATTGGCTTTTCCGTTTATAACGGTTTTCGTCAGTAGTAAAACAAAGCCCATTTTTCTCTACTCTAATTGTACCTAATCCGGGATCCACAACACAAGTTTAGTACTGTCGGTTTTATCGTTATGATTGCGGTGTTTCCTCAACAGATTTTTGTACAGGGTTGTATCCCTTACTCAGGTGTACCTCTCAGCCTGCGGGTCGGCCGCTGCGGGCCTACTTCCACAGTATTTTCCGGTTTATTCTTTGCATAGGGCCGGCTTTTGGTAGCACAGGCCACTTTAGTGACTATTCTGGAGTACTATTGTTATTCGGAATGGATACTCAGCAGGAAACAGTCATAGAACAGTTTAAACAACAGTTTCATAGAAGAAGACCTTTTGCAGTCCATCAACTCCCAATTGGATACTGTTCTAAGCGTTATTCCCAGTACTAACAATGTTACCATTAAAGTAGCAGAACGATGTAACTCCCAGGAAGCTGCTATCATGATGCTGTCTACGGCACATCAGTTATTTGAAATAATTCTTGCATTAAGAGAAAAGCAAAGACAGACATGCTTTCCCTTATCCTCCACCCACTCTAACTTACTCCGAAGTAGTCAAAAAACTGCCTTCACATCCAAGCAAAACAACCTAGCTCATAATAGCCAACTCTGCCGTCATGAAAAAGAACAGAAGCCCCAGCTTCCCACGCTGTCGATTTTTTGCTTTGTTTTAATTGAAAATCACCTTTCTGTTATTTTAGAAGGCATGATTTGTACAACACTTGAATAAATGTAAATACCCTGCACTGAATACCGTATGTAATAAACAACGGAGCAAGCCGAATCCCAACGGTAGCTTTGTACTTCAGATATACTAATAGCATTAACTATTAAAAGTACATCCTTGTTTATATCTCAAACAGAAAATTCAAACTCAACATTTATGTATGTATATTGTTTCAGTGTAATTTAAAAAAACATCCAAATCTAAACTTTCTAATTACTTAAATACTTTAATAAGCTATTCACCATAATAATAAACAGTGCTTTGCAAAAATTCGTTGATAGATTTCGTCGATACAAGCAAAAAATGTACAGTAACATATTTGCAAATTTTTAAAAGTTACCAAAATATTACTATTTGAGCTAGTATTTTAAGGATAAGTATTTATTG